GGTAAGCCTTACCATTTTCTCTTTGTCAACTAATGCGTGAGGCTGGCTGGTATGAATTCAATTTGCTGGAACCGAATGCATTTCTTCTGTTTATTAGAAGCATATTCCCATATCCTTCTGATCTCTGAAAGAAGTAATTATATGATCTAAAGAAAATGTAACAACTCTGTGTGAGATGCTTGAAAGCTGTTGATTTCCTTTCTTTGGCTGCTTTTCTTTGTCATTGCTCTGATTTTATAAATAACATTTTGAAGAAGATGTGGAATTATAATGCATAAACTTCGGGCAAAAGGTGTGTGTTTCTCTCTCACCTCTTTTCAGTAGTTAATTCTAAAATGAAGTAACTATAATAACTATACACAGAATTAAATTTTAAGTCATATAACACCGTGGGGCATTTCTTGACATTTGTCCTCCTGCTAAACATATATCCAGTTTGTTTGCAGTGAGGAACTAACATCTTAAAGGGTGCTCTGAGCTGTACTGTAGATGCCTTTTTTTTCTTTATTGAGAATCATTTTACTTACACTGTCACTTGGAGTTTTTATGAAATAGCATTCGATCTAATATGTTCATTGATCAGTGGGTTGTTTTTTTGGTTTTGTGTTGAGTTTCTTTCAAGCCATTAAGTTGTCTTTTGTTTTTCCAATATTGCTGGCTTGTCATTATAAACTTTGTATATTACGTAGAAAACTGGTTTTTTGGAATGCTAAGGACACTTCTACCAAGTATCATTAACCTTTCCAACATTTTGACTATCAACACTTTCAATTAGATTTCATTATACAACTATTTCAGTACAGAAGTTGTATTTACTCTTTTATCAATATGATCTCACTTACTTGTGAGTGTTTATCAAAGTTAAGATTTTAAATATGAGTTTAAGGCTTTTAGTATCTAATCCAGCACTGAAAGTGCATGAACATACGCAAAGTAGTCTTGTGTATCAGACGAGCAGCAGAGTGCAAGGACTCTATTTAAATAGAGTAAAGTAACACAGTGTTGTTGGTCAGTTGTGACATGGCCCTGAAAATAATTTTTATCATGGTTTTCTGTTAAATAAAAAGTTTCTTTAGCTTTTTACTGTGCTTTCATTTTCTTTTTCAGAGGCCAGGCTGTTGTTCTAATAGCCAACTCTATCATCACTTAAATTTGAAATATCATAATGATGAGTGAATGAATCTTTTCAAGGATAGAATGACTAAAAAGAAAATCTCGTACAATTTTGCTTTTCGTCTTGACATTGCAACACAATTTGTCTTTTATGTTTTCTCATGTGTTTTCCTGATATTTTGGAGTCTTTTAAATCAACAAAACACCATGTACCAACTCTGAATTTAGAAATACACTCCTCTTACAATAGTAAATAACTCTCTGGTTACATTCCTGGTAATTCAAAACAGACTAATGTTGGTTTTTGTTGTACTGTCAGTCTTCTCTGAATTTCTCATCTAAGGCATCTGTTTAACAATAGAACTGTAGAATTTCTCTTTTTATGAAATAATCTTTGCTGATCATATGCAGACTTGTCCTGCAGCGAGTGCCTGTTTGGTATTTAGTTGTCTCTTGAATTACTGAAATGTCTTTCTCCAAGGCCTGTGCAGCAGATCCTGAGAAGCATCAGGCTTATTGAGAGTAAAGGCAAGGAGATTACTTTGTCGCCTCTATATTCACATTAACATGATTTTGAAGTGGTAGCTCTCAGTTTTCTAAACGTCTACTTCCACAGAACACTGTAGATCTGAAAAACAAGCAAAATGCTTTTCCTCCTGTATGCACACTGCAATCAGATGTGTGATTATTACAGCTTGTGTAGACACGCTTGTGCTAGCTTTAATCTCACTAGTTCATGTACCAGCAGTAGCAAAGCTGTGGTAACACAGTCCTCGGTTAGGGGTATGCAGGCTCATTTTGTTGTACATTGGATGCTTACTCGAATTAATTGCCTACAGTGACGTCCATGTTTCTGTATTTTAACTGTTTTGTTATGTGAGGCTAACAAAATTAAGTGTAATTGAAGTATATGTAACATACTGCAGTCATATCTCCTAATTGCAGTGCAGATGCAGCCTGTAAGGCAGTGAGCCCTACTCTCATTCTTCTGAGACGATTAGAAGGGTCTGCCCTAGTTTGATAGTTTTAAGATGACCTTTTATCAGAAATTTGCAGGAATCTGGAAGTGCTCAAGCACCCTATATGTAAATGAAATACTAAAAAGCTAAAATCAGCAAAGGAAGCATAAAAATAATAAAATTGAAGCCTTGCTCCTGCAGTCCAAACCTTTGTGGAGTCCTAGTGAAATCAATTCATCAGTGCTCTGGAGTATTTTATGTATAAGCCCTCATCCTGCAATCAGATCCTTAATGAAGGAATTCTCCTTTCTCAGCGTGTGTTACTCCTATTAAAAAATCAACACACTAATCCTTGGCTAAACGGAACTGGGAATGTGTTTGCAAAAAAAACAGGTAAAAACAGACATGGTGAGTAATACAGCATTTGTCTGATATCGGACTGGTAAGCCGGTAGAAAGGTGAATATACTTATGGGAAAGGAGTTCTCTGTGTAGCTCATTTCTAAAATCTCTCTATAGGAAACATTTTAAAAAGATGGAGCCTGCTATTTACATAACAGGGAGCGATTGTTAGTGGTGCACAGGAATGGACAGCTTGTCAGGATATTGGCATTTGGCACACACTGCTCTTATTGTGAGGTAGTTCTGTAAATTCATTAAACTGGAGTTTCTTTCAGGTGTTTTAAGAATAGCAACAATTAACACGATCCAGAGATACCAGTGCAGAATTGAATGCCAACAGCAATTCAAAAGGCCATGTACACACTGTTCACTGAAGATAGGAATTCTTATTTTTGTTGGATGTTTTTGCAAAAGCTGCAGAAGAATTTCAGTAAAAGTAGGAGTGCTGAGGAAGCAAGTGATTCTGTTACTCCAAATCCTGTTTAGGAGCAAAATGCTAAATTATTTTAGGTCTTTGACCTGTGCAGATATATTTCTTTTCATTTTGAGCCTTCTTTTGTATTTGAGGATTTTGGATTTTGTAGTGCTTTTATATTTTCAAAAGTGATGTAAAGTTCATGTGAAGAAGCTGGTGTGCAAGAAGGTAGCATGTCAGTTTGACTACTACAGCCATTCTGCCCACACTTTGATGCGGATATTGTTTGTGTACACGGAGAGCTCAGTCTAAGTCAATAATTAGACTGGATCTAAAGGACAGATGCCATCGAGGGAAAAATTCTTCTGGCTGTGTATTCCCGCTGTTAACCCCCAGTGGGCTGGTTCAGTGAGCTAACTCAGAAAACTTTTCCTTGTAAGGAACCTGGTGGCAGCTAGCCATTAAATGAGTTTAGAAGTGGTGTGAAATTATAGCTTGGGGCTGTAGTGTGACATGTGTTTAATCTGGCAATGCCAGTTTAAACACAATCCCTAGATATCATATCCTCTCAGTTGTCCTTTCTGCTTCCTCCTTTGCCCTCAGTCCTCCCACACACACAGGTTAGCTCTCATTCTCAGAGCAGAGGGCAGTAAACCAGCAAAGCAGCTTTTTTTTTTTTTTTTGCTTTTTTTTTTTAATACTGTGGTAGGATACCTGTTACAGTTTCTGATTCACACAAGTCCACCTTGATACAGCACAGAGAGTAACACAGTGGTGTGGACAGATGCAGGGGATTTGTGGGAAGCTGTGGCTCCCTCCACCCTCCACCAGTGTTGGCCTAAACACTGTCCCAGGACTGCCTTTCTGTGAAACAGTTTACCCCGTAGCCTATTTTGCATCCAGTTGGGGTATTGGTGCGCTTGTTTCTCCATAAGTATTTCCCTTTGTAAGCCAGTTTGTTCACTTCTTAAAAATGCACAGCATTACTCTAAATTTTATGCTTTGGCTTGTTTTCAGGAGATGCTTTGGTAAATGCTGGGAGGTACAGAAGTTCCTAGGCAGGTAATGCACTTCCCAGCTAGTACTGCAGCTGCTGTGCCTACAAGATGGGACTATTAGAAATTAAATAATCAAGTTTGGTGCCTTGCTTCTGCTGAGAGAGTAAGAAAGTAGGTGCCTGACTTGACTTGCTCAGGAGCTATCGTACATCCCTCTGGTTGCACCTGACCTGTAAATGTTTAAGCCAAACCATTCACATCAGGTTGCTGCTCTACTGAAATGTGCATTTAGCAAATGTACACTTTTTGGTGGTGGTGTCTGCCTCCGTCCCCCAACGTACTGCTGTACAGAGGTGAGCAGCGAGCATGTCAGTGTTGAAATGACATGGGGACTCCTTTCATGGCATACTTTACCATGTACTTTCAAGAGACAAGTAATGATTTCTCGGTGCTATTCATGGAGGATTTTGTTTTGAAGCATAAAGTGATTTTTTTTCCTGCTCTCTGGAAAAGGAGATACAGTTTTTCTTTATCAGAAATTATGCTCTGAAGTTATGCATTTATATGCAGATGATCTGTTTTGATATTTAAGTAATATATCTGTTCCAGGCAACTAGTTTGCAAAAAATAAATTTTTTCCTTTTAGGTTTGAATTTTAATCCATGTATTTTATAATGATATTTTTTCGGCAGGAGGAAGAAAAGTGTTGCTGTGGTGCTGCAAGGCCTCAATTTTTATTGACTGCAATTACTGCAAGCACAGCAATTTACAGCAACAGCACAGGCGGTGTTTAAAGTTCACTGGGGCTACAGCTCCCCCGGCCATAGAAATAATTTATATCTATATGAATACCGCTGGCGTTTTTTCCCCCTCAGCTTAACAAAGGAAACCAGGGCAAACACAAAGTGCCTCCTGCCTGCGTGCACACAGGCTTTGAAGGGGCAGGCGAGGGTGGGGATGGGGATGCGGATGGGGAAGTCCAGGTGGTGGCTCCGCTGGTGCTCCCGCGGGCGGCAGTGGTCTGCCGCCTCGCCCCCTCGCATCCCTCCGGGGTCTGTTGCCTGCAGGCTTTAATTGCACACCACTACTGTCGAAATCATGGTTTTACGGAAAGATGGGAAGTGCCTGTGTTCGGTGTGAGCGCCCTTCGCCCTTTAGTTTAACGTAGGTGCTATGAGGTGCTGAGGGATTTGTGGCTTGGTTGGGGGGGGTGGGGTGTTGGTATTCGGAGTGCACCAGGTGGAATCTGTTGCCAAAAGGAGGTGGGTCTGTGCTGTGTGCGTGGGTGCAAGTCAGGCTCCTCTGTATTGCAAAGTCATCAAACAGGTAGCTTCCCTGGGAACACTTTGTTTGGGAAAGAACACTAAAGAGCTGCGGCTTATGGGAACACTGCTGAGCAAGAAGGCTCAATCTTTGTGTGCCTTGTTGCTTAACACTGGAGAAATAATAATGTCTAGTTCGGTAATACTTAAAAGAAGATTTGCCTCATTTTAAACCATTTAAAGTTGTTCTGTTGACAGGTAATACTTCAGACTTTCAGCAGAAAAGTGTAATGTTTATAAAAGCTTTAAATTTTCTTGCATTTCAGATCGCCTTTATTTTGCAATTCTCTGCCAAAAACCAAAGAGTGGAGCCACAAATACCCATTATTTCTGCATAGATGATGAACTTGTATATGAGAAGTAAGTACAGACTTATTTTTTCCTGTTTTTTATGGATCATTGAAATAAATTAGTCAGAACAACAGCAATGAGGAACCAGTCTAATTGACATTTTGTTTTTAAGTGTAGCTGAGGGAAACATACATTCCCATTATAGAACTAATTACATGAGTTTGGTCCTCTCAGACTTATCTGCCATGATGATTTATATGTCTTAGAATGGTTTCTTGGCTTCCCGTCAGGATTTCTTAAAAATCTTTTCAAAGCAGAAGCTTTCATTGTACCCATTCTTACTAGAAGACACAGGAACATGATGCAGCAATACATATACTCAGCAGTACGCGCTGGACTGCTGAGCTGAAGGGGATGTCTTTGGTTGCTCAAGTATTAAGTGGAGTGTCTAAACTTCCTAGAATAAGAGAAAAAACTGGCAAAATCAATTCAAGCCTTTGTGAGCTGACCATGGATATATTATTTCCCCTGTAGTGAACAGTGTATACCTTTGTATGTGATCTGGAATGCTGCTAATTCTTTAAATATTTTTGACCAAGGGCGTGCTTACTGTTTTTGAAAGTACTAATCAATCTTTATTCTCTGTGTTCACTTTTCTCAAGCAATACTAGTTGCCTTCTTTTAAAGAAGCTTTTGGGTTGCTCTTAAAATAAAGTTTCTAAACTGGGGTCACAGAGAGATACAGTAGTGAGAAATTTTCAAACCTAGAGTATTCCAACTAATCAATCTTTATTCTCTGTGTTCACTTTTCTCAAGCAATACTAGTTGCCTTCTTTTAAAGTAAAGCTTTTGGGTTGCTCTTAAAATAAAGTTTCTAAACTGGGGTCACAGAGTGATACAGTAGTGAGAAATTTTCAAACCTAGAGTATTCCAGTTTGTTTTTGAGTGGTGGTGTGTGGAAAACAAAGAAAAAAGTTTAGTCCCTGTTTAAAGATGACAAAACTGTTTCCTCCAACAAAATAGTGTGTATGTAAGAAGGCATTCTTGTTTTTAGAATGATGCACATACATCATATATATTATTACTGCTTGCTTTGTGCATCTGATTTAAAAAAAAAGGCATTTACAGAGGTCATGTACAATTTTTCCCCTTTCTCCTACCAGCTTCTATGCAGACTTTGGACCACTCAATCTGGCAATGGTCTACAGATACTGCTGCAAGCTAAATAAGAAATTAAAGGTAACGCTTGTTTTTTTATTCAATATTCTTGACTTTTTAAAGAACAAAACCAAATGGGCCAAAAGGTTTTTTTTGTTCAGGTGCTCTCCTGGGTTCCTAATCCAGCTGAGTTTTGCATATGAACGCCAGATTTTATCAAGGTGAATTTAGGGAGGAGGATCAGGAGGGAAAACTCACTTACTTTTAAGATCCAGAAGATATACCACTGTGGCAGTAACTAATGTTAAGCTGCTAAAAGATTATCTTCTCTGAGGGGTGCTCAGTAATTTTCGGGATTGGACTCTTGATAGAGCATAGTGTCTTTAAAACAGAGAGTTCCTATGTTAATTAACATGAATGACTTCAAGTTAGTTGACCTCTAACAGATGTTGGAATATAAAACCTGTTAGGCAGATAAAAAAGCTTATTAGCATCAATGTGAATCACAGGTTGCCTCTTCAAAACTGCTTATATCTTGCAACTGCCACTGAACTGTGAAAATTGGAAAGTATGCAGAACATCATAGTTTAACAGAGATTTTTTTTTTAATTCCTTGATGTCTGTCACTGGTATTAGTTTGCATGATTCAGACTCACTTTGTCCCTGTGGCACTATGAACAGGTTTGCCGGAGACTAGATTCTCTGATTTTTGTTTACAGGATGCTCTGAAGCAACACAAGTCTGTATTATAATCCCTTTGAATATCTTGGGTTTGATACGGGAGGGGCGTGTTAGGGTTGCTGAGAACATACCACTGCTAGTGATCTGGGGTTTATTTGTTTTGAGTGCGTTGAATAGTATCTGAGCAAGTAACATTGCTAGTTAAATAGTGACATTTTACGATAGCTTAGCAGTTATCAAAGTATACGGTTTCAAGTGCATCAAAGTTTGTTTCAAGGGCCAGTTAGGGCATAGTTTTTGCTGCCACCACAGGTGTAAATGTCCTTTCAGTTGGCAATGCCGTTCCACCCCCTTTCTAAGGTAACTGGAGAAACTATATGCCAAGCTGAGATAAAATTTTAAGAAGTTATTTACGATAAAGTTTAGAAATACTTTCAAAATATTTTAATCTAAGCATATATTTTCCAGTGGTTCTGATCCTTAGAAACAACTCCTAGTTGATTTATCTAGAGTCAGGTTTTCTTTAAGAATAAAAAAAGTCTAAATTCTGTTTTCAAAACTATTGCAACTTTAACATGTCTGTGATGTTTTTGAGAATGCCACTTTGTATTTACTTCTCATAAACCCTATCTGTTAAATAGGGCTTGAAGTCAGAAATACTAAATGCATTTAAGGAGAAAAAGAAAGATTACTGTAATTTGTATCAAAAATTATTTAGGCTGGATACTGGGAATAATGCTGGAACAATCCAGGTAGGGATGCAGTAGAATCTTCCAAAGCTTTTGAGAGAATAGTCTACAGTATACTTGGTCCTCTGACTACAGGTGGCTGAAAGTAGGTGAACAGACCCTTGCATTCCTCTAATTTTATAAAAGAAGGCATGAAAAGTCTAAAATGCAACATCACAATCTTGTTCATTTCTTGCTACAGTCATTTTCATTGATAAGGAAGAAAATAATTCATTATACTGGCTTTGATCAGAAAAAACAAGCAAATGCTGCATTCCTCATAGGTTCCTACGCAGTAAGTATTTAAATTTTTACATTACATCAGCTTGCTACATGTGTTCATTTTTTCATACTTAATTTTTAAAACAGCAAGATAAAAACAATTCTTTTCTCTTGAATAATCTTCCTACTAATGTATTTTATAGTAAGGTACCACATACTAAACCAGTTTTTGAAGTCTAGCAGGTATGTGAATGGAGTTGTATGGTTTTGGTTTTTTTCCACTCTACTGCAGTCTGTGCTCCTACGAAATAAGAGCGCCACTGAAAAAAAAAATATCTTTATGAATATTTTCATTTAGAAAAAATGACTGCTTCTTGATGGTTTTTCCTCTCCCCCACCCACGCATACTCTCTTTTTTCTTTTTTAAAATAGAGAAATACTATCTTGCACAAAGTACAGTGTATCATTTCCCATTGCATGCACGTTTAAATACACCTTCTCTTCCCCAGCTGCTTCTTTTCTAATGTAAGGTCATCTCCTCAGTTAACATAGGAGAAGGAGATCATGTGGTAGGCTTAGAGCCAGTATAAAGCCTGGGAATATACGAGGTGGCTGGAAATGTACTGAGCCAGGTCCCCGACTGCAGAGGGGCAAATGGCTGGCTTTACATCACAACTGCATGTGTTTGGTACACAAAAGTGTAGTCAAGGAATAAAATGCTCAATGCTTTAGAATGAAAGATGCGATGTACCGTATTCATGTTCTGCTTTGACTTGTAAGGCACCTTGATTGTAACCATCTATCTTGTTTACTGAGTAACAAAATGAAGTGAGAACCTACGCGTTTTTTGACATTGGCGATTTGAGGGGTCAAAGTTCATGCAGCCTTAGGTCATTCCTATTTATTAGCTGCAAGGCTATACAGTACTTGCTGTGATGCCGGCAGTCTCCTTGCTGCTTCTCTACATCATGCAGGAGGTCCGTTTCCTGCCCCCCAGGGTTTCTCTGTTGTCTATGTTCTACAGTACTTATTACAAATTAAGAACTAGATTTCAAAATGTGTCACTCTTGGTATTTGAAACACAGGCACTTAGGAACGTTGCTGTAGACCTTTGCATTCTTAAACCACATGGAAACCGGCAACGTGAGTTACTAAACTTGTTTGCAGTTAAGGCATTATGTTGACAAAACAGCTGCAGCTTTTGGGAAAACTACTTCTTCCTAATGACTTGATCATGATGGAGGCCCAGAAAGCGAGAGGGGACCGGCTTCAGTTATCACCCATTATTCGGAAGGAAGTGGGTTTTGCGTTTCCCTAAACTTTTGTTCTGAATATGTGTAGTAGTACTGTGCAGCACAGCAGCTGACACTTTGAGCAGAATCCACAGTACGGAAAATTAACTAATGGCAAAACAATCTAATATGAAAATACTGTGGTTCACTATGTAAAAGTATACAAAAAACCTAACACAAGTCTTATTTCTGATCATCCGGTAGCCCTGCCATGTTGCAATAACAACATGCAGTTGAAGGGGAATGCTTGGACAGACTTGAATAAAGCTCTAAGATTAATATGTACGGATTATGACAGTCCAAAGCACGGTAATTAAAAATGGAGGATGTTGGACAGAGGAGTAGGCAGTTTTTGCTTCAGAGAACTGCAGTGAAGGAGGTGGGAGTTGCAGAGTACAGAAAGGATGCTAACACAGATCCAGCTGAAGTGTGACACGAGATCATGACTGACTAGGCAATGCATGTGGGAGGGCTAGTTGCAGACAGCTGGCATATGGCAGAAAGAGGCTAGTCAAAACCAGTGGTAATTTTCGGAGTTCAGAGACTTGTGCTGAGGTTATTGCATTGTACAAGTTGAATATTTTGGCAGTTTCTCTTAAAGACCCATGGCAAAGTGAAGCACTATGTGAGTATCAGTCCCCTCCTTGAATGGGGGCGTGTCTGTCTTGCATAAGCGCAAGTCCTAGGTGGTGAGGTAGCTCTAGCTAGATTCTGATTTTCTTTCCAGTGCAACAGACTTTGGCTTTGCTACTACTTTTTCTATAAAGTAGGGTACAGTTTCTTCCCAGACGGGTGTGGGAGGGATTCCAGTGAAGGAAGATCACCGCAGAAAGACTGTGCCCCTGAGGCTTACTTTTTTTCCCTGGCGCCCTTTGATGATCTTTCATGAAGAGGCAGGCTTAATTACAGCACTCACTGCTGAAGTGTTCAAACATACACGTCCCACGTTTCTGCTTTCTGCAGGGAGAATTGGGTTGTTCTCTATGGGGCGAACAATGGTATAGGATCTGTTCAGAATGCATGATAAATGTATGTCTATAGGCGTATTTCCTGATTGAAAGGAAATATATTGAGGCCTTCTTTGTTTAAAACATATGCAGGCTTAAGCATCCACCTACTTGTTCAGTTCAGAGTGCTTTGCTTTTTCATGAAGAAGGTTCCATGCAGCTATTGGTGAAAACTTTAAGAAGCTTTTTTGTAATTTTAGTTAATCAGACCGTGTCCTGTCCATGCTCTTTGCTGCTTGAACTAAGTATCATCATTTGATTTATGATCCCTTACAATGTAAGTGGTAGGTTGCCACTGTTTTGTTTTCTGTGGGTTGAATGTGTTTTCTTGTTTGATTTTGTTTTTTTAGCTTCGTGGTGTGTTCCCATTTCAACAGTTTACCTTAGGTTGAGGAACTGCGTGGCAGTGCATCAGGTTGGAGGAGTTCAGGTGGGAAGATCAAAGAAGTAGAAAAGGAAAGTAGCCTTTGCAGGGTTAGTCATGAAAGTAGTGCTTGTCTGTGTGTGTTGTAAGGCCTTTGATAACTTAAGCATAGTTTTGGGTGCAAGGTGCTCTGTAGATGCAGGTGCTTTAAGTTACTTGTTAGAAATAACAGGCTGCCAGGTTTTCAGGAATAGCACAGACACAGTAAGCGTGTCTCCTTTCTGGTTTTGTTCTCTTTTTTTTAAACACAGTCACATTCTAACTATAAAACTATAATGAACTGTATATAACTAGTTCTTCTCTGGAACTTGTATGTCCTCATAAACATTCAATATTTTTATGCTAACAACTTCCGAGCCTGTCATTTTAAGGGTTTGTTGACCTTAAATTTGTATTCTTAAACAGAATATTATTTAACTTTTGCTTAAAGGAATTGGGTTATATTAGCATGGCTTATCATTCAACATCTTTTGTTTAAATATATATCTGTGTGTGTATATATACCATGTGGGGATATGCTCATTTTGACTACTAAGGCAATTATGAAAGTCTTCATTAACAGCGGTGAAGTGTAAGGGCAGCTGTTAGTGTTCTGGTTTACAAGCAAAGTCTGTTCCCAGTCTTTTCTTCACAGTTGGTGTGTTTTAATGTTTCCCCTCCATCCCCGTCATATAACTTGTCTTTCTTTCCTCTTCAGTGGAGATAGTTTCTGAACTCTACAGGCTACACACTTCTTTCTGCCCCCTCCCACATCTGCTGCTTCCTTCCAGGTGTACTTTGATGTGACAGCACAGCCTAACTCAAGCTACAGGGCTCTTCAGTATAACATGGCCTTAAAAGTGAAGAACAAAGTTTTCAAATACATTGTTATATATGTAGTTTTAGAATAAAAAATGATTTTTTAGTGTATGTCTTAACAATTTACATCTTAATCCCTTTATTGTTCATCTTCCATCTATTTTAATTCTGTATTTTGTTTCATTTTTACAGATGATATACTGCATAATGGGAATTATATTCTTCTGTGTAGATTAGCATAAATTTGGCACATTCAGCCACACAAAGGGTAGCCAGAATTCTCGGTGTGTTGGGGTTGAATGTTTACACTTTATTTGGGCGGAGCGGGTGAGGGGAAAGAAGGGGCGGGGGGAGGACCCTTTGTTCTTCACCTTTTAAAGAAAAATTGCTTTTCCTTGGAAGCTATCTGCACTGTTCAGGCCTTACCACTCTACCAAAGCAGCAGTGATCTTCTGAGTTGATCTCTACAGTGGCTTCTCTTGATTTTCGCCAGGACTTGGCTGTGGGTGAGGAAAGTCTGCTTCTTTCATCATTGCTCCTTCTATATTAAGAAAGAAAATGTACCCTCTGTGCCCTGTCCACCCAATTCCCAAGCTCCCCCCTCTCCCCTTGCCTGCATTAACTTAGTAACAGTGTTTTTTTCCTCAGGCCTGGCACTAATTATGTACTTGGAGGGTGACCCTCCGAGGGTACCGCCCCATGAACTGCTGTAATTCAGGTCACCTTCTCCAGGACTCATCTCTGTACTTTGTCTATTTTCTCATCTTCTTTCTTCAGGGTAAGCAGCGTTTCCTTCATCCCTTCTGATCCATAGTACTGTTTTTTTGCCTTTTCAATTTGTTAGTGTCCTTCCTAGCTGTGGGCCTAATGCTGGGTAGAAGCTGAAGGTTGCAGAAGCAATTAGCACCCATCTGTGTGATGTTGAACAGCTCTGTTCTTACCGCGGCATTTGCAGAATTACCTCTGGCTAAGCCGTGGGAAAGCAGGCAAACCTGTTTGTTTAGTGGTCCAGGCTGAGTGGTGGTAAATGGGTAACTGCGGCAGCACTCGAATTACAGGTGGGTAAACCATGTTTACCCTCAGCTACATTTTGGTGAGAGGTGCTTGTGCTTGACAAGCGAGTGGCAGAGACGAGATGGATGAAGTACTGGCCTTTCATTTAAGCAAAAGTTGCCTCAAGTCTTTTTGGCTTTCTCTGTGTTCGTGTCCTCTAAAAAGCTACCTTCTCTGAATTGTGTTTGGGAAATCGTGGTTAGTCTTCATGACGGCAGCTTTTCCTGCTGTTTGTACTAGGTTCTTCCTCATGATGTTCTTACCAGACTGCTTGTCTCCATAGGAGAAGGGTTGCTCTTTGGGGGTCCCTCACTATAGTACTAGCTTGCTTTCTTGGCTGTCGTGGAGTACTGATGTGCCCAGCCCGGTCAGTTCCCAGCTAACAGGGTTTTCTATACCTCCCCTCTGCTGTATAAAAGGTAATTGGAGGTTTCTTGCTTTTGTTTATGATGATCAAAGAGAGTTGCCAGAGACAGGCAGTTATTCCCTCTCTGCCACT